AAAATGCAAAACTCAACCTTTCGGCTTGCCGTTCTTCTTGGCTCCACGTCCCCCTGATCTGCAGGGCCTTAAAGGCACTGCTGGCTCAAGGGTTGGGCTCTTGCGATACAAGTTCAGGTAAGGAACAAGGGATGAATTCGACAGAGAGAGATCTGCTAACTGTGCTAAACCGTCGTTCAAATATATACGGGCGGTACGGGCAGCTGCCCACCGCCCCTGGACAAGGAGGGTGTCGAACGATCCGTGGTGGTTAAAGTGGAACGTCGCCCCACTCCGTCTTAAACTGTAAGGTCTGAAATGCTGGTCAGTCAGGTGTAGTGCATCAATGGCTCGAGCAAATAATGCTCGCCAAGCATGAGGTTTGAGAGTTAAAAAGGCTGTTGGAGGATTGGACTGTTTCCAACGCCACAAAGCTGGGAGGATGGATTGCTCATGTAAGGTGACGCTTTCGGCCGCTCCTTGGCGCGCTCCTCCCTTAGTAAGGCCTAGAGACAGCACCGCCGGTCCCTTTGGTCCAGGGATGAACACATCCTTTGCCCGGAGGCTCAAGAGTTCTCCTGTACGCAACAAACCGAAAAACGCGACACGCAGCGACAGACAGAAGGCGGGGCATTCATTAAAAATTGACCACCCACAGAGAGCATCCAGAACCTGAAGGGTGAATGGCGGTGCCCGATTAGGGATCTCCACCGACGTCCAAGCTTTCAACAACCGCCAACTGGCAGGGAGTTTTCGCTTAAGAGACGGATCACGGTCTTGGAGAGCTGCCAGAGTGTTGTTGGCAATCGATTTTCCCTCACCTGTGGCCCACAAATGTTCAAGGTAGTCACTGACCAGGCCATCGAGGAGGTTTTGCCGCTCCCTGCCAACCAGTCAAAAAAGCGGTTTAAGCAGTCTGTATATCGTTCTCTTGTGCGAGGTTGAACTGTGAGCCCTTTGAGTGAACCTAATTTGCTTCGGACTTTCTTGCGCTCCTGTTGACTTTTGCCTTCCATCACTTTTGTGGTCTTTTTCCCCATTTCCGATGTAATGGTCTCCGCGAAGGCCGATCGGCCGGGTTCTGGTGCGTGTCCACGTAGGCCCACACACCAACAAGTCCACTAGCCAACTGAAGCGCTCCAATCCTACACAAGGTTCTTCTCAACCGGCGGCTCGACGATCTTCCTCTTGACAACGCATGCAACACCACAAGAGAATCAATGAGATGTAAGAAACGGCATGCTCCTTCTTCAAGCTCCTTCAACCTCCAAACTATGGCTGTCTTGACAGCACGCAGCTCTAAGGCGTTGATGTGCTCTGCGTCACCTGTCCAGCGCCACCCTGCCACATCTTTCCATCGCCAGAGCTTGCTGGGGATCGAAGCTCGTAACCTGTGGTATCTGGCTGGGAGATCCGTCCCCAATTGAAGCAGGATGTCTTCTCCCTTGACGGAAACTTGACCTAACAGCCGCGGCACCAACCCCACAGGGGGCGCCCCTGCCTTGGTGGTTTGACGAATGGGAGGACGAAGCAGGAGGCTTCCAAGGTTCTGTTCCTTTCCCGGGGTCAACCGTAGAACCAGCGTCTCCACGTCAAGGACTGGCAAGAGGCCAAGGGTACGAAACAAGCAGTAAAGCAAGTAGACAACCACCGGAATCGACCAACTGTTGCCCAGCAAGCGGAGCCGACAATCATTGTGAGCTGGCTTCCCTTCCATGCTTTTGACCATGCATCGACGGGTATAGTCCATGGGGAACCCAAGAATGGCCTCCCTCTCCTTGACGGATGGAACCCGAATTTGGCCTGCACGGTTCACCACACAGTTTTCTGCTCGGTATTGGTAAGGCGGGAAGCGGTGAAGATCCGCCTGCCATCGGGCAACTGCATCCGGTGGGCACAAACTAAGGCCCGCAGGTCGGCGTCCCGGCTGAGGAGACGGCCTAGCAGTTGTAAACGTGGGAAAGGGACTGTCCGCACGAACACGATGCCATCCAGCCTCCAGGAAATCTTGCTCATCTATCGTCGCCGCCAACTCAACGCGTCCCTGCACTGGGAGAGGACCTTCCCTCCCGTGAACCACAGTTGCGCCCGGCATGCTCCAAGGATCCCAGCTGCACCAATACAACCTGGGTCGCCTTGCAAGACTCACTTTTCCTGCATCTATCAACCACGGAGTAGTCCCGTACGCCTGCGACATGGTCTCACAGTCCTGGACGTCCATAGAAGCGACATTCTCAATGAGCCGGTGCACCGGGCACCAACTGAAATGCTTTCGAATCAAAGCTTCAACCCTAGGGATGTGTTGAAAGAGGTTAGATCTCAGATCTCGAAGCGCCCCCTTCCGATCGACATTGAGCGCTGACACGCCTTGGCATGGCGGCCCAGCTCCTAGAAGCACAAGCCCTACGCTGGCAAAACGCAGCCTCCATTCAATCACCTGCTCCTCCGTGATCGCGGCGACATCCTCAATGCAGACGACATCCGGGAAATACGACTCCACAACACGATTGGCCTCGGGTGAAATCTCAACGGACACATATCCCCCCACAGGCACGCGCAGCGCGTCCAGAGCTACCCTCAGGGCACCTATTCCATCGAAGAGTGACACGACGAGAACCTGGTCTATCTCTTCCGGTTCAACGGCGTCTCCACGACATTCTGCCTGACAAGCTGCAACGCCAAAGGGGCTAAGCTCTCGACTAACACACAGTCCACCTCCAGTAGTAGAGGCATCACTGGCCGTGACCAGCTCTGAAGCGCTCAACCTAAAGTCCATGTAAGCCAACGGGGTCAAGGCAATGAACCGCATCAATTCAAGCACCACCGCAACGGGCAGGGGTCGCCTACACCTTGGTCCCCAGGTACCCAGCTCAGTCACCTGCCTCCAGATGGCATTCAGCCCTGACAGCAAAGGTCGCCGGAACATCGCAATGTAGACGAAGCCACCTCCAACTGCCTGCAACTCCCTCTGTGACGCTTTCCCTGCAATACAGAGCTCCAAGGCGAACCTTACATACCTACCCACCTTGTCGACCTTGGGTGACGCACGGCCCAGGTCCCCATCAACCCAGGCTCCCTGCACTTCAGCTTGCACTTGTTGAGTGACGCCTTTCTTGGGATGACGTGGGAGGCCCAATTGCTGGTAGGTCTCCCTTACTGCCAGAGTCCAGGCTGACGGAGTTCCCCTCAAGGTCTCTGCTAGCGCCCTATCCACTTTGTGCAGCTCGTCATAGTTGTCCAGGTACACGCGGTACTGGTGAGGTGCTGTGCTCTGATGACGATCTCGGCGAATCTCCTGTTGTCGGCCTGCCAACTGCCTTTCTCCTCCCAATGCCTGCTGAATGACTCTGCGGTGGACATGCTGAGCAATTGCCACAGAGTTTATGAACCCCATGGGCAACACTCTGCTCACCAAATGCCAGCCTGTGCCCGAATAACCTGCTGGGAGACCCTCTGGCGGGACCTCCCTTGCAAAACCCATGAAATTAACGGTCAACTGCAGTCCGAAATAGGTAGAAAAAACACCTCACGTCTTCTGACGACGTGAGGAGGAGTTCTCCGTCACCTAAAACGGTGCCAGCCATCCCCGTGACAGTGGGTAATGTGGAGGTGTCTCCGACAAGGTTTCGACAAAGACCGTTGGTTGGGACAAGGTTCATGATTAGTCGGCATACCTCGAATTCTTCTCCTTTGTCATCCAACGCCCTTTCTCCCTTCTCAACTGCAAACAGACCGTTAAGTACAGGCCTATCACCAACATGGTAAAGCTGCTCTCGCTTCATGAGCCCACACACTCCCCGCTCGATCAATCCCAGGCACACCTCGGCCCAGTTCGTCTGGCTCACCATCACGGCTGGCGTCTTGCTCAAGCGCTGATCCTGAGGCGGGAGCAGAAATTTCTCGAACTCAGACACGTACGAGAGGGTTCCGCCATCACAGAAGTCCCCCAGCTCTAAACTCCCTACCCCCTCGGGAAAGGCGGCTGCTATCATCTTCCACTCAAAAGCTCGAGCGACGCGAACCTCCTCACCAGAATAGCCAATACCCTTTGTTGCAAAGAACTGGTCAAGACAAACTGGGGGAAGCACCAACCGGGAAATCTCACTGCTCTCCACCACCCTCTTGAGTCTCTCAATTATCCTCCTCTGCACCTTGTTGACCTTCTTCAGTCCCCTCGACTCAACCCCATAAAGGCTGTTCAAACCCCTCACGACCAAATCCAAGGTGGGACACGCTTCCAAGCACTCCTTCAACCCCTTCAGGAAGTGGGAGAGGAAAAACCCCCTCCGTGGACTGCCCGCAACGCGTGGTCTGTGACAACACCTCCAGGGATTGCGATAGTGCCGGCCCC